ATTAATTAACGTCAAAAATTTCTTTTGAAACAATATTTCCTATTTCTTAGTTATTATCACGTTTCATTTAAATATAAATTCCATTTCCATTTTTGCATCTTGATAACATGACGTACAATTATGGGAAAATAGTGGTTTTTTCAAATATAATCCAATATTATTAAAATTTTGACCTTGAGGGTTATTTATAGACATGGAAAGTGCGAAGAGTTAAGAAAATTGTTTCTGTACAAAATAAAAAGTAATGATAATGAATTAGAAAAAGGTTTGTGACCTTCAGATCTATTGATAGTCATTGAAAACGCTAAGACTAAAGGAAATTATTTTCTGTCTGAAATAAAAAGTAATGATAATGAATTTCCTGTATTAAGAGTTATTTTTGATATAAAAACTCTCTATTCAATTTTTTCTCCAGTTATAATTTTTGCTTCAATATTGTATTNCCCTTTTAGTTTCCTTTTCAGGAGTGTTCGGCGTTCCCGAGCCGAGCACCAGCGGCAGACCTCCCGGAGGAGAGGAATCCAGTGGAGAGGGACGAGGAGGAGTAAGTAAGCGAGTTTTGTGAGAGAATTCGGGACGGCTGTTTTCTCGGCCGAAAAATTCACGTCACAACTGTACATACCTACAGTGGTTGCTCACTCCATGTAAGGTAAATGTCTCTATTCGTGGAACATGTCCCTATTCATGAAACATGAAAATTTGTATATTTGTTGTGCAACATGTGTAATAAAAAAAATTGTGGTTGTTGTATATTTTATTTATCTTTATGAATTTACAAGAAAAGTTTCGTTGTACATACGATAAATGACAAATTTTATTGATAATTCCATAAATAGGGACCAAGTAGAACATAATCTATCTTTAGAACTGTACGATTAGTAATTTATACCATTCTATTGAACAAATAAACGTTAAAATTATCTCTGCTTAATACAGTAGTGGTGTACAAGTGAGAAAGCTTTAACTGTCTTAAAATATTATACTAAATTTATGTTTTTAAAAAAGTTTTATAAATAGAAACATAATTATGAAAGAATAGGTCAAATGTTAATAGTTATATACATTTTGGTCTTATGGTCTTTTCATGAACAAAGGAATTCTACAATTCAAAACCATATTTAAGAATTAGAAAATTCATTGTGAATTCGTGGCTCACCAAAACTGAACTTTATATTATTGAAGCTTTCAATTAAGGAGGTTGTAGCGCTATATTAGACATATGTTATTAAATAGTTTAGATTACGCTGAATCTGATAGTATCTTTATATAGCCTTAACCGGACAAAACCTTAAGAAAATTGTGCTTGAAGCTCGCTCTATCAGTTAGAGCACTTATGGCACGTAGATTAGGAATAATGATTTGCAACTCCAATGAAAGTGTTGGGTATTAATAGTACATACGTATTTTAGGTTATAACTTTTTTTTTTTTTAATGCCGTCGTAAAGAATATAGATAATTGGAAAAAATTTTGAGTTATTCTATTTATAATTGATTAAGACGTCATATTTCCTATGTTTTTCTTGCGACAGTGGTACCAACTATCAAAGATTTTTGAGCAAATTAGGGCTCCAAGATGCGGGTTGGTATCTGTACTAGCTGGAACCTCCTTAAGAACAAAAAGCTAAAGAAAGAAGTATGAAATTTGTGGTCATAATAGGGATATTTACCTTACTAAACGTCTGCTATACAGATTTCTCTTCGTGTTTGTATCTGTGTGTGTGTGGGGGGAGGGGGGTCAGTGAGTGACTGTGTAGGTGCGCCCGTGTTATTTGGCATTTATATGTATGTGCGTATCTATAGACACGATTAGTACAATTTATGTCGGAAAATGTTTTGCTGCCACATATCTGAGGCAGCTTCGCTTCTATCAGAAGTCTGGAGATCCCTTATGCCTTTTTTAAAAATAAATCATTGGATTTTAGTGAAACATAAGACTCACAACTACTAAACATTCAAAAACTGATTTTGTAACTGTGCTGCGTCACGAATACCCTGTTTGCTTGAGATGTTGTTCTATAAACGCTGCAGAAATGTTTATTTACTTATAAAAAAAAAAATAATAATAATAATAATAACTGATGTATCTACAGATTAATCGAAATAAATTCAAGTTTTAAATAAAAGAAATACACATTTTAGTATGATGGAGCATCTTTATTAAATAAATCTATGACGTTTCGCCCATTATTGTTGACCTCTTCAGACATCTAACAAAAATGTAAAACACAAAATAATAATTTATTGTTTTATGAGCAGAAATAAAGAAACAGTGAATATCAAGGCTAACTTATTGTACTAAAGATGTATCGCTTACTCAAGGCATAATAAAAACAAAATTAGAACATTTTACATTGTAAATTTAATCAGAGACATACGTCTCTAATAAAAAAGTAAAACCGTACAATTAAATTATACGTCGTTATTCTTGGATTCAAGTGCAAAAAACACTATTCGTAAATTTTATAATGATTGTCCCAAGAGTCCATCTTACTTGCATATAAATGCAGTCTTGATTTATGGATATATTTGTACATCCATGTGTCTCTGTATGTTTTGTGCCGTGGGTGATTATCCATTCGTTTGGTCTATCGTCTGCTATGTTGTTAGTTTGTGACTACATCAATAGATATGATTCACACACTTATGTACGAACGTACTCATAAAATTTACATGGACATATGAATACATCCATGAATCTGGTGCTCTCTGATGTAATCTTAACACCATACATTCCTCGTTCAATGATACCAGTAAATTTATTATTGTTATACCAAACGCATTGAAAATCAAAGTTGGAAAAAATATGTTCAACTTTAAAAGAAAAATATTTGTGGTAAAAAAAACCAGAGGTTTAACAAGTAAAGCAAGCCGATGTCGTATTAACGAACTACCTGCTCCATATTACTATTAATGTATGCCAATCTAGATCTTATCGTTTTGGCAACAAACTAATCAGGGTATCCATTAACAGATAAAACCCTTCTTACAGTATTAAGGTTGTTTATACGAATCTCAGGATTATATTGGAAAGAACATCTGTACATAATTTTAATGACATTGGCCCTTTTTTGCTAGCGTTGAAAGTAGATGTATATTTTCAAAAATTTGAATTTTACATACGAAAACGAACAAATTAAATTGGTTTTGAACCGTTATCATCTCTCAATATTACTAAGTCATTGTTTTTGCCGTACGGATTGCTTAGAAAAATAGGAAGCAATTGTATTTTTGTTTAGTAGAGATATATTTCAATGAAAATTAAAAATTTATAAATTGTTGACGTCTGTAAAAGTCTTATAACTTAAGGTGGGGAGCTGTAAAAATAGTAAGCTGTGGGTGGGTTGGCCGAAATTTTTATTGGATCAAAATAATGGAGTCATGTTAAAATTCACACATTTTTTTAAGGTTTGCTCAAAATATGGATATCTGCTACTAAAATGTTTATTTTAGACCTTGAGAATGTGCAAAACACTGCCTAAGTTGGTAGTAATGATCAGAAAAATAAGTATTAGAAAACAATCGGTGTATCTTATTTTTTTGTGATCGTCTCACACAATATAATAAAAACAAAATAGCTAGTAAAACTGCTGTGGAAGCAGTGTTTTCTTTAGTGTCAGTGAGCTGTTTGAAGATAAGGAGTTGAAAAATAAATTCTGATTTTTTTTTGGCAACAATTTTTATTTTTATTGCGAGTATGGATAAATAGCTGTTATTAAAATGTAAGCCAAAAAAGTTATCCTATATTTCGTTAAAGAAGTAAATTAAAGTTTTTTCACTATTTAACTTATATTATTTTATTTTTTGGCTGTAAAAAAATGAATTATATCAAGTTCATTGCATGTTGTTAAAAAACGTTAATTTTGAACTGACCACGGCTTTTGCAAAGTAAGAATTGTTGTATTATACAAATTTTTGAAAACAAGTAAATTAAAAAATGCACTTTCAACATGAACTCTAATGGAGATTACTTCACCGTTCTTTGATAAAATGCAATATCGTGTAAAGTTGACTTGGAATGAAAAAAGTTCGTAGTAATAGAAGAAATCTTAAGCTTTCTAATAAAACGAAGAAAATAGAGACTTATCGTAGAAATATTATATGATATTTTATCATACAAGTAGTAATTTCGCGGTTAGTAAGATTGAGTAATGGACCAGCCGTATAAATGAACAGATGCTCGGCATGCAGACGCCAATTTCAAATGATGCACTGACTAAAATAAGTAAATCAGTAAAATAATTTTATGATTGCAATGTTTGTAGGGCAAGTGTATACGGTAATGACAACAAAACTTATACTAATAATTCTTTCTGAATCTCTTAATAATTCTTTATAAATGATAACATAAAAAAATTTTTTACAAATTTGCCTTTTATTTCCTCATTTGTATAGCGAACAGAATACTTAGGTTACATTACTATTGTACGATTTAAATTATTTAACTATTTTAATTATTAATAATAATAACAAAGGTGAAGAGATTTAAATAACTATGCGACAATGTGTATATGCGACGATAGTATATATTGTATAGTATATGTATAGATACATGCAGCATTCAGTTATCTGCTTGAGTAGGGACTTATACGTAATTTTTAGTACCTTGCGCCGAAGAACAAAATTTTGTTTTTTAACACAGTATAATCACATTTTTTCTTATATATATGACATGATATTAGATTATAAGCGCATTTCTGAGACGTTTTATACTGTAAATAATAAGCTGATTAATAATCGAAAAACCACAGAGACCCACCCCGCATTGATACGGCGACTTCGTGAAGAACCGCCTTAAACAATTTTGTTTATTATTTCTGGTTAGTTATAATAACATTGAAACTTCTCTTTAAAAACAAATAAATAGAAAAGTAATTATTATTTTTTTAAAATATTTTCAGTCATTTTCATACATTTTCTCATACTACTGCTTATTGTAATTTAATTTTTTAACATAGTTTTTATGAATTTTTTTCTCAATATTTATCATTACGTTTAGGAAAAAAGAATGATGTCCATTGAAAAAGAAGAGTTGAAAGAATTGAAAGAAGAAATGGCTGACTATCGAGAAGATCTGCAAGAACTCCATGAATTAAAAACAGAAGCAAAAGGCCTTGCACATATAGATGATATTAAGGTTTCCAAGGGTGCCAACCGGCTGTATATAAAAGTAAATAAATTAATCAGTAAACTTGACACAATCTTATCAGATTTAGAGAAATCTGAAAAAAGAATGAAGAAAGAAATGGATACACTTTCTAACCAACAAAAGTCTGAATCTTTGGTAGCTGCAGAGTTAATTAGAATTGACGAGCTTATTTTGGCTATTAAACATGTTCAAAATGTGCCAGATAATCATCGGTTAGCTCGTATAACGGAGATACTGGGTGAAATTGATGATGATGGAGATGGAGCTATAAGAATTGAGGATGTTTTAAAGGTATTAATTGTTTTAATAGGTTTTTAGTGTTAAGAATTTTTTAAATGCCACGTTAGTCTTGTAAATACAATGAGAGTAGTGAGCTATTTTCATTAACCCTAACCAAATAATGTTTTGATTAGTAACATAAAACTGAGCACGGAAATAGTAGTTTCTGTACCATGCACAAAGTTAAAAAACTCCGTCTGAAAGAATTTCCAATAAAAAAATCGACATTCTTTCCACAAAAATATTTATTTTTCGAACTATAGTTAAAAATATTCATTTTAAAGAATAAACTCCGTTGTATTCTACAGAATTTCAAGAATATTTCTAAGAGTTACAGCTCAATAGTTTGATGAGTCTACTAAATGTATCTCGGTTTCTTGTATGTTAATTTTTCGAGCTGTTCTAATTGTATATGTTAACAGTAATAGTATTTTTTTTTAATGATTCATTGTTAGAACATTAGCAACCTTTTTCTTTAAGGGGACTCTAGTGAGTATTGGTACCAACCCAAAAATAATTCAGTTGGTATCACTGCTGTAGGTATATGTGCGAGCACCATCACGTACATATATGTATAACTGTAAAAACTGTATGCTAATACAAGTGGAATACAATGAGTTGATGGATACTTTACGTAATATCTCGAATTTTTTTAGAGTTATCTGTATTTAACAAGGTATCACCTAGAAGCTGAAATTTTTTTCTATAAAACAGTTACTATCCTGATATGTAACTCCTACATTATGGTTAGAATATTAAGATGTATTTATGTTGCTCCATAAGAGATTGTGTATAATGGGTGAACCTTAGAGTAAATATCTCGAAATTTTCCACGGTTGAGGGGTAAACAAGGACACTGCTGGATTCAGTGGGTTCTTATCTATGAATTAAACTACCTACGACCTCTTAACTCCTCTCTCTGGAACCCCCTTCATAGGATACTAATGTTGTATCTTTTTAATACAGGAAAAATGTTTAATGTAGGTTCACATATATAATAAACTAGCCGTCGCAATTTTTTATTTTGACCCGTTACTATAAATAAAATAATTAAAATCAAAAAACATCCTAAAAACCTCAACTGCAAGTATTCTTAAAGTGTACCTCTCTTCGTCGTAAAAAATTTCAAAAGAATTATCGTCTTTTTCCAAGAAACTCTATTTCGTTCTATTTAGAAGCTAAGGACAACACTGTTTTGCGTATGTAGGAAAAGAAAAAGCATCTAGTAAAACCAGGTTGCTTTTATTGTTGTCACGTGAGTGTTTGCAACTACAGATAACTAAATTATATTTTCTTGTAATGAAGCATTGATTAATGCTTTGCTGTTCAAAACTCCATCTTTGTTAACTGTAGTACAAATCGTAGTAATAAAAGATGTCTTAAAATGTTATAAAAAGTTACAAGAACTTAAGAAAAGAAGGTAAACAAAAAATAACAAAAAAATGATGTAATGAAAAAAAGAGTTTATGCTTGCAGATTGTTTTAGTGCAGATTTTCTTCTTAAAATAAGTACAAACTACTGAGCTGTGATTTAAAATAATCATTTTCTTAACTTCTACATACTCGTTACTGTAACATGCTTTGACAGTAATAATCACTGTTTTGACATCGTATACGATTTCAAAGCCTTGTGTACAGCAGACTTACGCCAGTACAAGACAACTATTTATTTAATTCTCTGTGATATTAAACTTATTTTAACATTTAAATTACGAGACTGTACAAATAAAGGTTGTAAATCAATTTAAAGGGAACTTTGTCTACCATTATTTTATTCCAAATTCGATAATATTGTTATCTCGTAGATTGCTAGAATTCAGGCATTAAAAATGGTTTTAATAACTCATTTACAATAAAAAATGATTATTTTTTGAAAAAATAATGGAAGTTATCTCCAGAAGCTCTACAAAACCACAAAAAAAATGAATTCTCTATCCTTTACTGTTTTTTTGTTTTTTAATCAATTTAGTGAAAAACTTTTAAATTAAAGAGTAATCAATTTTAATTAATTTTTATTTCCGATATACATAAATATTAGTCATCAATCTAATTTATCGATGGATAAGTATCATGCAAGTCATTCAATTTATCGATATTTCCCATCCATGACGAGTTTGCCTAGGTAATTTTTTAACCAAGGTTTTAGTGACTCCCTCTTTATCGTGGATAAGAAATTTCGATAAATTTAATGACTTTCGTTAATAATTACACATCTACAAATTAGATAAATTTCTAATACTTACTTATACCCCATCAGGAGGCGTTGACTGAAAAAACGTCGAAACGAAAAGTTCAAATGTAGCAGTTGAAAAAAAAAATTCGCTAAGACTTTGGTGGCGAAATCGGTAACATACTTTCTTGGCAAGAAAAAGATCCACGTTTGATGCTTAATGAAGGTGGCACTTTTTTTCAATGGCTGTATATAACGATTTCCCTACAACCAATAGTTTAAACTAAAAAATAAACTAGGCAAACTTTTCATGTATGGGAAATGTTAATAAACTTAATTACTTGCACTTCATATTTTCGCTTTAATTAATAATGTTTTTCACACAACAATTTTGTTTTATAATGAATATCACCTATAATTTTTATAAAAATAGTTTTGCATCGTGATAATGCTACATGTTAACTATTATATTAAATGCATGAAACTGCGCTTGCGTGCGCACACATGAAAAATGTTATTTTTGTTTTATTCACACATCATTCTGTTCATGATTTTTAAGTTTTCAAATTATTTTTTAGGTAATGTTTGGCCAAAAAAACGAAAAATATATTTTACACATTTGTTATAGTTTTGCAAATATTCTATTACTTTCCCTAAAATTTCCCACCTTGATTTCATAAAAGAATATTTAAAACATTAAAATTTAAGATGATGTTTTCACATAAGTGAACACCTCTCTATTTGTGCGCTATGATATTTTTTCTCTCTAGGAAACCCCAAAAAATCGTTATTGTTGTTCTATATTGCTTCCTTTTAAAGATATGGCTTGTTCTTGAATATTGGAAGATAACGTTACATTATTAAAACATGCCAAATAAATATTTCCTATCTGAATTGATCTGCCATACATGCAGCATTTTTTTGATAGTTAACCTTTTTTTAAGTAATAAAATTAATTAACCTATGTATGTGTTATATACGCACATTGTAGTATATGTATACAGTAGAACCAGGAAAGGCTGTAAAAGAAAACCGTACTTACATATACATACACACACATGTATACTTTCATACAATCTATGTACAAGTTATACACACATACATACGTGTATGCATACGTATAGTATGCATCAGTGATGCGATAAACCCGAGACGTCTCTTAGGTACTCTAGGCTAGTAGTGCAAGCATAGAAGCATTAAGCTCTTTCTCATTAGACTGGCAGGAGGGTGTAACGTTTTGTTTTCTTGCCCTCAGACACTTGAGATTTCACGGTTAGGATGGTCCTGAAGCCGCGCACAAAGATTCTTATACCGAATTGAATGAGGAGAGCACTGCACGTAAAACGCAAAAATAACCCCACGCCCACGACGCTCGCTGCTGGGCTAAAGGCTCAACTCCTGGAGACTCTAAGTAGAAAAGTCCCAGGGGTAATTTATCAGGAAACAAGCTTCTCTCCTAGGGAAAAACGATCCACGCTACCTGTAAATAACGATGTTCAAATGGCGACATGCATAGAAAAAGACAAAAAGGGTGATATTATATTATTAAAAAAAAATCACTTTGTTTTGCACGAAAAAAAAAGGAACACACACGCGGGCGTCCAGGTCCAGAAATCTCGGTACGACTTGGTGCTACGCACGTGGCACGACGTGCGATAATCACACTTTTTCTCTTACTTCTAGGAGCTTTTTCACGTGGCTTGTACTGACAAACGCGTGCTCTGCACGCACACGCACATACACACATACTATGTTCACGGTGACATTACCCAGCACTACTATACCACTGGGTTTACCATTCTTGGCGCAGTCTCTCGACGAAGACCTTAGTAGTGGTGATTTTGGCAGTGGCTGTCCTTTTTCCTCGGGGTCATCGTCTTTTGGCTGTATGGCAGTTAGGTCAGGGCCCTGGCAATTGGCTGACGGTAGATGGTGGCCTGGAACACGACGGGCAGAGACGGCTCTAACTTGGGGAGAGAGCTCTGTTTTACGTGATTATTACTACAGAAGTGACGCGTCAGATTCACCTATTAGTGCGACTTGCAGCATTGTCGCACTAAATAGATAGTTTCAACTTCTGAATTCATCGACCAAAAACCACTTACTCACACACACACACACTTTAACGCGGCGCAATTGATGGTACAAACGATTAATACAGATATTTGCACTCGGCGTCGATAACAGCAACACTTGCAATTATACAATAGGTGCTGTAATAACAATAGCTTTTTCAATTGTAATAACTATATANTATTATTATTTTTTTCCTTTATCCAAGGTCGTCCAGAATGCCTTGATGCACGATAGAAGGGATTACGAACCCCTTTCCTGTGTGGGACTGTGTGTGTGTGTACAAGTGGGGCTCCGCCCCCCTGCGCGCGTCGCCCGCCAACCCCCCTTTTATTGTGTTATAAATGTAATTTTTTCAAAATAAGGTTTGTATTAATATTTTTTAAAGCCTTAGAAAATGATAAAATTAATTGTTAGTATGGAAATAATATGTTGAAGTATATTTTACAGAATTCGGAATACTATGGCATTTTTCGAAAATACTCGGGAATAAATTTTCTACGATGGTTAATGATTACTGGTCTGCTTTTAAGGAAATATGGAGAACAAGCTGCTGATTTCAAATAAAAGTGGTAAAGTTTATATAGACAGAGAGATGTGCCCTTGACTTTTTGTTGGTGAGCATTATTATTTTTTCTAGTGGCTCCCTTTTTTAAATGAGCTGTCTATCCTGTATGTGTCAATAGATACTTCTAAGCTCTTATAACTATATATGCCCCCTGCGCGCTCTGATCACCAACCCCCGTAATTGCAAATTAAATTTACGAAG